AAAAAAAAAAAAAATGCTTCTTAAAAATTACTTCACGGCGAAGAATATAACTTAGCAGTATTGAAAAGTACTTTCTATCTTAGACTTTTGGGGGGGGGTGGGCTCATAAATGTCCAGGTATATGCAAGTGCTCTAGTTTTTATGTCTGCTTTGTAAAATAAAGTTAAACTGATCGGAAATTCCTTAAACTGGAAGACTGTTAGGGAAATCCATTTCAAAGATACATGAATCCTATTATCATTTTAGAATAGGTTCTTTTTAGAAGTAAATAAGTTATTCTTTTCAGGAGTGAATGCCTACACTTAAAAATAGATTTAAAATGTTTTAAAATAAGTAGTCTTAAAAATGAACTATATATTCTGAAGTTTTGAGTAGACTGATGCACACATCTGCTCTTCTAGGAGAAAGGTAAAATGGATGAGGATCAAATGTGAGGGTATTTAAATGATCGTCAAGATTCTGTGGCTCATGTGTAGTGATAGTGAACTCTTTAGTGGTGAACTTTAATTTATGCTTAGTGCTGACCTGCTGCTGTGTAGGGACACTCACTGTGTCCCTTCATTTAGTCCCTTTAATTATCCCTACTTCCTTGGGGAGCTTGCTTAGAACTGAGCATGAGTGCTTCTCGGGGAAAATACGGGGCTACTCTGGCTACATGTAACAGGGTAGTTTTTGATACGGGATTTATGTATTGATGAACCAAGTAAGGGGCTAAAGTTGTTTGCAGGGGGTTTATTTAATCAAATTGGTAGGGAATATTCTGGAAGTTACCTGGTTAGAGAGTGATTAGGCTTCTAATAAATGACAGTCATGGTTAATATACCTCTTGAGCTTCTTTGTTCCACTCTTCTTTTTTAGTGCGCTTTTTAAAAGAGATCTGACTACTTAAATGATATGTGAGACAATCAGATTTGGAATTTTGTGTATATTTGCAGGGGATGGGAGTTCTTTGTGCTGGGAGCATCTGTTAATGCAGAGATTTGTCTCTTCAGGTTCATGTGAAAATGGCGGATGAGGCTGTCTGTGTTGGCCCAGCTCCCACCAGTCAAAGCTACCTCAACATGGATGCCATCATGGAAGCCATTAAGAAAACCAGGGCCCAAGCTGTGAGTCTGAATGAATCTATCTACTGCAGCTGTTTCATATATAGCGAGCAGAAAGCTAGAGTTGGTATTCAGGAAAAAAAAAAATAAGAAAGAATGATTGAAAATGCTGTTGCAGTTAGTTCATGTCATATGAGTTAAATGTGTCCGAATTCGCTACTGGAAATCAAAGGCTTTGTAGCATCTGGCAGTGTTGGTCGCTGATCCTGCAGGTGGCTGTTGGATTCAGCTTTCACACCAGGGAGCAGTTTCAGTTCATTTCCAAATTTGCTAGGGAAAATAAAAATCCCAATTAGTTTTGAGTATTAACCCTTTCAGTGTAATAAGATAAAGAAAAAAATCTGTATTACCAGTAGGATCCAAAAGATTCTTCTTTAAGTTCTCTTTTAATCATGTTAACCTTAGGACACCTGGTTACACTTCCAGAAATAAAAACTATGCAATTGGTAATTATTTCAGTTTGATAATGTCAGTGGAATACACTTGCACGGAGAAATAAATAATGCTTTCCATGTCTAATTCTGTTTGAATGGGTGGAATCCAGGGAAGGAACTGGTTTCTGACATCAGAAATAGTGTTTTGTTGTTAGTAGGTATATACGTTTCATATCAGAGAACTAATTATATATAATGTTGTAACTACTGGGAGTCATCTCTGAAATGGGATGGAAACAGCCAACACCAGCAATTAGCCTGGAGTGCTTCAGTTAGCACTCACGTGTCTTTGAAAGAAATGTTTTAGTAAGATACAGGTTTAGATAAAAACTGAATTCATGAACCCATATTATAGATGTTTACAGTTTATTATCAGAGTTAATGAAGGTAAAGCTCTTAACCTTTTGACGACAGCTTGTCAGAGTGCAATCTTTCATGAAATGTTTCTGTGAAATGCAGTTGATGGAGTGAAACTTTTCCTGTGATGCAGTCATTTCAATTCTGTACCATGTTCCTAAAGCGTTTAAAAATCTCAGATGTGTAGCTACTTCTAGATTATGATATTGTTCCTTCCAAAATTTGACTTTCCTTCTAGCAGACTTGTTTTCTTGGAAATACATTCAATGCTGACCAGTGATAGAATGGCTACATTTGTTTGGCTGGTGTGGTAGAACAGGACGGTAGAACTTAAACTGTAGCAACGTGGCTTGTGAGAGAGGATTACATAAAGTGGTTGTGAGTGGCTAAATGGGTTGGGCCAGGGGAGAAAGAGTAGACGTCTAGTTAGCATAAAAAATTTCAGAATACAAAGAAAAAGTAAAACCAGACTTTGATTTTACCTAGATTTGACAGAAACTGCTCACTGGATAGTGGTTGAGTATATTCATGTTATTAGGAATAAAATGCATTTGTTGGCTTACCCAGGGTTTTAGAAAGCAGTAGTTCCTGAGACTGTAAAGGAAGGGGAACTAGGAGTTTTTCATCTATCCGTCAATGGTTTTGTTTAACCTTGTACTTCGACCCACCAGCCATTAGAAATTTCTCCACTCTTGTGGCCAAAGGCAGCCTCAGAAGAAGTAGGGAGAGTTTGGGTCGTGTTGAATAGCATAGTCAGATGTAGGTGGATAGGCAGAATTATGGTCCCGATTGTGGCTAGGAAAAAGGTAGTGTGCTGCAAGTGAATGCTGCATAGTCAGTCTCTTGGAATTTGGGTCTGTACTCAGGAATGTGAGTTGCGGCTGCCAGTATTGAGGAGAAGTAACCTTACTCAAGGCCCTTAAACTATAAGTACAATAATGCACTCTCTGTGTTGCTTACAAAAGGTTTTGTGAAATTTTTTGTAAAATTGAATGTGTGTTTTGTTTTCATTTCTAAGGTACATCCAGGTTATGGATTCCTTTCAGAAAACAAAGAATTTGCCAAATGTCTGGTAAGTTTGTAATGGATCAGAATCTGTTGACTTCTATCTCAGAAAGCAGCATAATGGTATTGCTTTTTTAAATGTGGGTCATGATGCATTAAAGAATTTTAATTGACCCATCAATTCTTTGAAAATTACTTGTAAAAAGTGAAGAGTTTTTGTTCTGAAACCCAGGTCTTGGTTTAAAGAATAAAAGTGGAAGAGTTATGAGATGACCTTTATACCTAGCTAATGACACTGAGTTTGTCATATACTATATGGACTTTTTAAAAATTCGACTCTTCAGATTTGTAGCTAACTATGTCAAACAGTCCAGTGATTTATTATTGTAACACAAGCATGGACTGTGAAGCCAGAAGTAAGATTCTATCTATTTCCCTTTTCATTGCATATTGTGATATTTAAGATCAAATTTCTGTTTGGGGAAAAGACTTTTGTATTACCAAAGTCTTTTCCAGATATTACCACCTTGGTTAAATGAATTGAACTACATTCAAGATGGTACTGAAAACTCAGTGTTCAGGTGCTAAACTAGGATTTTGAATGTTTCAAAAAGCTCATTGGATCAGTTATCCCAGGAGGTATCTTAATTTACTATTCTAATATGTTATACTTTATTTCTGTGAAATGTTTATATTTTGTTGTTTCATGGATTCAGAATTACTTATGAATATAATTTTCTAGATGAAATTTTGACTTAAGATCCATAAATTTAATTTGGACAATTTTTGAGATCCTAGAGTTCTAGCTTAGAATGATTTATTTTAACCAATTGATAGGTTAAAAACTAGGGCCTAAAGATTAAAGTGAGGCCTGACGGAGTTGTGATGTAAGGTGACACAGATAGCTAATGGTAACAGGTGCCTGGAGAGGGCAGATGAGGTGGAAGCAACCAAAGGCCCACATTTACCAAATTTACCATTTGTGCAGCATGTGCACACTTTCCCATTTCTATTCTTTTTTGCTAGCCTCTTGCCTGAAATTTTGACTGAGTTGTATCGTTATGTCAAAAGTGATTTGAATATAATACATGTGAATGTGCTTGTACAATATAATGTATTAGACTTAAGTTTGTGTAGATGAGGAGTCTCTAAACCATGGTCCATTGGCCAAATGCAGCCTGCCGCCTGTTTTTGTAAATTAAATTTTATTGGCACACATCGATGCTCATTCATGTACGTGATGTCTGTGGCTGCTTTGGCTTTATAACAGCAGAGTTGTGAAGCTATAGCAGAGACCAAATAACCTGCAATGCCTAAAATATTTACTGTATGGCCCTTTGTAGTAGAAATTTGCCAACCCTTGGTATAGAGTATCTGGGTCTCAGAGAAGTTAAATGACACAGCCTGTTGTGTGTTCATCCATGCATTCAATCGTTAAAAAAATGGTTGTTTGCTATGTTTATATTTGAGAAGGATATAAAAAGGCATCAGATGTGTGTCCTGCTCATGAGGGGGGCTCACAGTCATGTTGTGGAAAATAAGTCAAGTCCACAAGTGACTTCAGTTCAGGGGAAAAATACTATGAGGAAGTTCACATTCTCCTTAAATGAAGGATATTTCCATCAGGGGCTTTGCGTTAGAGAGAAGAGTATAGAATAGGTGAATGACCACCTTCCTTTCTGACTAATTTTCTTTCTAATTTCTCCTCCATTTCCCATTGTCAGTGCTATGCCTCAGCCAAGACAACAGTGCCATTCTCAAACATGGCTAGTTCTTTCCTGTTCCATCCTTTTCAGCACTCTTTACCCTGTGGGCACACCGGTCCTCTCCCACATTTCCAACTTCTGCCTGTCCCGAAAGGCATGGTTCACATGTTACTACTATCAGCATAGTTTCCATGCCCTTCAGGTGAGAAGTAATCTCTTTCTTCTATTTGCTAGAGCATTTTTTTTTAGATTTCTTATTTGATATACCACTTTCCATATTAAAATTTTTCCTTTACTGTATTTTAATCTCCTCTTGAGATGAGAGACTTGGTCTCATTGGTCTTTGTTTCCCTTTTGTTTTATATTTTAATGATTTCTGCATAGTAGGCTCAATGAATGTTATGGAAAGATTAAATAATTACTAGATTAAAAATAATAAAACAATAACCTGCAAGAAAACTTTTCGTCTATCACAAAAGGGACTGCTTTATAGTTAGAAGGCAATGTTGCTGTGTTTTGGTTCACAATGAAAATATGCAGCTAGTGATAACTAACCCTGTCTTTTTTTGTGTGTATCGTGGCAAGATTCTTTTTGGGATATAGCTTAACTAGCATTAAAATCTTTTCCCATTGGAGTGTGCCATTTAAAATGCTCCTTTTGGGATATCTAGGTATAGTTGGTAAGTTCCATAAAAAATAATACAGCATTGAAATGAAATTGCCTACTGATTATGTTAGGCGATATAAACATTGTGTGATTGGTGACCAGCCATTGGATTCAATAGTTACTCTCTCAAACTGAATATATTCTTAGAGATATGCTTCACGTTGTAGTGGTGATAGATTACCATGTTGGTGGTGGTGACTTTGGCAAGGAGAAGCTGAAAATTTTTTTTTAATGTTTATTCATTTTTGAGAGAGCATGAGTGGAGGGAGGGCAGAGGGAGAAGGGGACAGAGGATTCAAAGCAGGCTCTGTGCTGACAGCAGCGAGCCCAATGTGGGGCTTGAACTCATGAACTGTGAGATCATGACCTAAGCTGAAGTCAGATGCTCAACCAACTGAACCACCCAGGCACCCCTGGAATTTTTTTTTTTTTTTTAAGTTGGATACTGTGGAGTTCCTTTTATTATAATACCATATCTTATGTTTGAGATTTAATCAAATATGGAGGTTCCCCCCCCCTTTTTTTCTTGTTCTGTTTTTTTTTTACTGTCTTTTTAAAAAAATATTTGAGAGAGAAAGAGAAAATCCCACGGAGGCTCCACACTGTCAGTGCAGAACCCAGTGTGAGTTTAGATCTCACAAACCGTGAGATCACGACCTGAGTGGAAATCAAGAGTCAGATGCTCAACCAACTGAACCACCCAGGCACCCCTGGAATTTTCTTTTTTTTTGAAGTTGGATACTGTGGAGTTCCTTTTATTATAATACCATATCTTATGTTTGAGATTTAATCAAATATGGAGGTTTTCCCCCCATTTTTTTTCTAGTTCTGTTTTTTTACTGTCTTTTAAAAAAATATTTATTTTGAGAGAGAAAGAGAAAATCCCATGGAGGCTCCACACTGTTAGTGCAGAGCCCAGTGTCAGGCTAGATCTCACAAACCGTGAGATCACGACCTGAGTGGAAATCAACAGTCAGATGCTCAACTGACTGAGCTCCTCAGGCACCCTTGATTCTGTTTTTTAAAATTGCTGTTCAAAGACCAGCATATTTATTTTGCTTATGGAAAAACAAGTTGTGCTTTATGTGATACATTGTTGTTTTTAGAAACATTAGAAAATATACAGTAAACCAAGGATAAAAGTATACTGAACATTATGGTTTTTTTTTCCCAAGACTAATTCTTTTTTTTTCTTTTATTTTTTTTGTAATAACAGCCTTCATTTGGGCCGCTGTGTGGGAGTATGTTTGTGGGTACCCGTGACCATTATTCTTTATGCTTAATTTACATGCAGTGGGATCAGATTACCCAGAATCCCTACTGTACCTGATTTAAACCAAATCATACTTTGTTTTTGCTTAAATCATGGAAAAAAACAAAGCTACAAATCACCCTCATGAAGAAATTTCAGTAATTTTCAGTAATCTTAATGTGCCGAGCCAACAGATTTTATTTCCAAACTGTGTTTCATTCTGTATTTCCCTTCTGGGCTCCTTGTATTCTGAGTGGTAAAAACACAGTGATAGGAGGCTATGAGGAGAATTAAGAAAATAAATTCTTTAATTTATGAAAGAGCTTTGAGGGCTCCTGGGTGGCTCAGTCAGTTAAGCGTCTGACTTCGGCTCAAGTAATGATCTCACAGTTCATGGGTTTGAACCCCACGTCGGGCTCTGTGCTGACAGCTAAGAGCCTGGAGCCTGCTTCGGTTTCTGTCTCCCTCTTTCTCTGTCCCTCCGCTGCTCATGCTCTTTCTCTCTAAAATAAACATTAAATTAAAAAAAAAGAAAAAAGTAGAACTACCTGCTCTTGAAAAAAGGAGGTATTGGTTTAAAGAGATTTTAGCGGCTTATGGGTGGCTCAGTTGGTTAAGTGTCCAACTTTGGCTCAGGTCATGATCTCTCGGTTTGTGGGATTGAGCCCTGCATCGAGCTTTGTGCTGACAGCTCAAAGCCTGGACCCTGATTCTGATTCTGTGTCTCCCTCTCTCTCTCTGCCCCTCCCCTGCTCACACTCTGTGTCTCTGTCTGTCTCTGTCTCAAAAATAAGTAAACATTAAATAAATATTAAAAGAGATTTCATAGTGTTCCTCGTTAGTTTGCTAACATATGTATGTGTATAGATATAGTAAGTATATATATAAGTATAGTAAATATATATATATTTATTTAGCAATTTATTTTACTAAAGCACAGCATTACAAATTATAGGGATTAGCTTTATGAGAAATTTGTACGTTAGATTTAATAGTTCGTGTTTCACGTTTGGGTCTTGCCCACGTATTTAAAAGATACACGTGTACATGCATATCGACGGTGAGTTTTATCCAAAGTGCTCAGCATGGAAGCTAATAGAAAACTGTAGCAAGCACTTCAGATTTGATGATCATATTCTTTTATCTCCTTCTGTTGGACACCTTTTAACAGGATAAGGAATATAACTGTTCAAAAACAGTGATGAGATGTCATTTTTCTCTCCATTGGATTTACCAAAAATTTAACAACTGGCTGTAATATCCAGTGTAGGCAAGTGGACAGGAAAATTGTTCTTGGGAATATAAAGTATTTTAGGCTTTTTTTTTTTTTGCTAGAAATTTACTAGTATTTATTACAATTTAGTGTATATATTCTTTGACTTGAAAGGAACTTCACCTACAAAGACAAACCTTAAGAAATGTTCATTGTAAGGTTGTTTGTA